CACTGAAGGAGGCATTCATGCTGTGGCGCGAATGTTTCGCTTCTTATTCCGGATTGCTGATTGGCGCAGTTGGGCGACGGAGGGCAGGGGGGCAAGCATTTTGCACTTTCGCTGCTTTACTAGTTCCGGTTTACAAGCCTGTTGAAACCCTGTAAACTCTTGTAAAGCGGGAGCAACCTCGTCGTGCCACCATGGTAAAACCTGTCAACTCCTGTAAGCTCATAAAATGGCTCTGTGGATGGTACGGAGGTAGCAAGAGATGCCTCCAACTCTCCGTCGCCGAACTGCCCCTAATGAGCTATACCGAATTGAAGCATGCCGCCTGACTAACCTTGTACTATCATTCAAGAGCAACACCGATTGCCTTATGTAGTGATTGACGCATATCGCGTGTATATCGTAAAAGCGTGTTCATACTTTGCAATTCGATCGCTTGCTTCACGCGATCGGATGGCTCGAGCGATTGGATCGTGCGATCCCGGCCGATTAAGGCGCCCAACGTCGGCTTCCGTCGCTAAGCGCAGAATAGACTGGGCCGCGTTATACCTGCATGAACACGGGACCAATTAGCTTTCTGTTCTTGCGGGCGGCCGCCCCCAGTCGTTGTCGCGCATTCCAAAGCGATCTGAACCGCAATGAAATGGTAAGTAAGTCGTGGTGAGCAGCGTCGTAAGCTGGACGACTTGCGCGGCATTCGCACCGGAAAGCCAATCCATTCAGCGTGCAGTGCATGAAATTATTGATCCACGGTTATTGTCAACTTAGCAAACTCTGCAGTTTTTCGCCAAAGCCCGCGATTAGGAAATGAGCTAATATAAATCGTGCTAGATAAACCATCAACGATGACGTCAGAGCACGAACGTGACAAAAAAAACTGATCGTTCGGTGTAGTTGAACAAGGCGCGTTATCTCTGCAGAATCCCCAGGATCGAGGAGATTGCATTGGAAACACTGGGGGAATGGTTCAGAAACACGGATCAGTCAGCACGGAGTAATGCTCTTCAGTATTGAGTGATTAGCAGGACTAGCGCTATAGAGAACCCTGGCCTCCGAAAATAATTGCCACATAATGTGAGTCAATCTTCACAAAAGCTACGAACCTTCCTGCATCTGCTGGCACGCGCGCAGAATTGGTATCCCTTAAGCGAAATGTCCGCGGAAGCTGTCTAAAGCCTACGGCGGTAGACGATGTCCATGCGTCTGTAACTGCTGTTAGTCCAGTCACAAAGATTGCCTTGAGATGCTGATAGGCTGGCTGGGCTTTCGAACTTGACCGTGGAAGTGTTAAGCATTTTCGGACATATTTCGACTTTTGGACATTTGGTAATACTGGTCTTAGTCCAGGACTTAGGAGCTAAGGATTACTGGTTGTCGCGACGCATGAAATACTCACGAGGGAACACCTCAGCTGCATGGTCTATAATGCCACGCCTATTCTTGCGGGGATCAGTGTGTAATTACTAACTTGCAAACTGCGAGTCTAATGATCCCTATATGTGAAACCACATACCTCTCTAATCTTGATGTTTACACAGCGTCTAACGGTAGTACACTGGAAATATTGGGATTGCTTAACCAGTGAAGACCTAACTGTAGCAGTGGCCCCTGACAATGGTTTGTAGTGATGTGAGAACGATATCAAGCCATATACTCGTTCCTGGCGGGATGCAGCTGCGTTTGGAAGAGCATCCCCATATTTTCCTAAGGATTTATGGGGAGATTTCCACGGTGATCATCGCCCTTATTCGAAACAAGTTAAGCAGTTGTTTCTTTTGCCTTCTAAATCCTAAGCTTCAGGTGAATATTGTGGAACGTCCTGACATTCGAGGGAAAGCACGAGGAGAAAACCGACAAGTTTGGCAAGGTCTGCAGGATTCGAACGCTTTTCGAAACATTCTGTCGCACGGTCGAAACAAGAGTGCTTTCTAGTAGACCGACTTTTGTGCGTAAACGATCTGCGAGCACAGTGAAGGCCGACGAGGTGAAGAGCGAGCTAAGTAAGGAGGGAGTGCTGACCGTGAAGTATCACAAACAGCCTGAGCTTCAAGCCAAAAGTGATCCCTATTTCGATCCAGCCAATGGCCTCTTCTTCAAGTCATGTGACCTGTTGTACTGACTGTTGAACGCGCAAATCGTCCTTTTCATTCATACTATAGTTATTTGCTCGTCTTGTTCTTATTTCGGCCTAATAAAGTTTTTGGTTTTGACTAGACTATTCTCTCCTCTACTAATTGTTAATACGGTGACATATGAACATACAGTTTGGGTCAGTGCATCCTGCCGCGTGCTCTAGCGGTAGCCCCTGAAGAGCAGAGGTAGCCCAAATCACCTCCGTTACTCACTGGAAAACTCACGTAACCCACCGAACTAGGCCCTAAAGTGTCCTACTGCCAGGGAATGTCCTGTCCTCAGGGGAATTTGATGTCCAAATAATCTGCAAAACTGCTGTCGAGCGGGAAAGGTATACGGGGTACGCGAAAAAGAAAGTAATACCGAGAAAAGACGAGAACCAAGAACGTTTTCTTGAAGGCATATACAACCCATCCCCAGCGATAAAATACTACGCGTGAATACCTATCCAGTTGGTGTCGTGAGCTGTGCAGCAAATTAGAGCCGTAAACTTTTCACTATCATCTCCTGTTACCCATCACCCTCTCTCTCCAACCCTCTATCACTTCTTATGTTAGAACCAACATCTGACCATTGCAAATGTTCCGAGACAACAGAAAAAGTGTACACTTACCTACGTGGATCCTGTTCCTTGCCATGAGTAAGGTGAAAGGATCCGCATCTGCGTGCTACTTTCTCCGATCAAAGTGCACGGGGAAGGTGTGGTAGATGAGTGGATCCCATCTGTACAATCCCACCCACGCTGCAGCATGGCCAGCCGCCTAAGGCAGCATTCAGACTTTGCGATAACACGCGTGGACACGCTGTAATGCGCGTCGAGGCGCGGCGATGCTCTGTAATGTGCTGCAAGGCGCGTTGACGCACTACAATCGCAACAGCACTCCAAAGTTATCGGTCCGTGAACGCCGCGCATGGGAATCATTGAGCGCAGGCCAATTGTCTTTCACAAGAGTATGGGTTTTGAGGGGCGGGGGAGGGGGAAGTACATGTTGACCAGTCACGCAGACTGGTATCGATTGGCACTGGCCGTATGCAGCTGCGTACTCTACAGCTTCTGGAGCGCTGGTGTACTTGCAGCGCGTTGATGCGCATCACACCGCGTCGTCGCGCACTGCAGGCGTGCGCCGAAGCGTGTCATCCCGAAGACTGAAAGCTGCCTAGCCGTAGTAAAATCTCTGTTTGCCTAAAATGCAACTTACAGCGCAGACATTCTGAATGCCGCTGCAATAGCCCGGTCTCGTTTATACTGCGCCGTGAGTTGGATTTTAGGCGCAGCATCGAGGAATCAACCTTTCCCACGGTCCTCTCGTTTGCCCCGGACATGCCAAGGACGCACGAGCGTACGTTGTGTCTATAAGGAACACCACTTCCCGCCCCGATTTCTGTGCACTTCCAAGCGGAGAAGGTGACACGCTGTTGCAGCTGAGTACCCATTCACTTCGCGCATGGGAAGGATCTTCCTCGGGGATGAGTGTACAGCTTGTCTTCAACCCGAACTCTCAACAACAGCATGATTGAAGCCTTAACTCGAAGAAGTCCAGTTAAGGAACTGGCGAAGAGTGAGTGGAAATGAGATGTTTATCTTGAATTCGTTCACTGGTTTTGTCTCACTCATGTGGTAGAAAGATTCTGCTATTTCTAAGAGATCGCAGCTCAACTGCGAAAATCGCTATGTCGGCTTTTATACCATTGTTCCTTCTACAGAATGTTCGCTGCCACAAAACTGGTAGATTCAAAAACATTTTTAATCTTAAAGCTTATTTCACATAATATCGACAGTAAATATCATCATTCTTCAGCATATGTATCGTTTTTAATTGAAGCTGACTTCTTCATCCTTGATCAAGTTGAGCGACTAAAAAGGGAGGGACTCATATTAAGCAAATAGTATATTCGCAAAGAATCACTTCAACGTACTTTTAACTGAGACGAGGCCTCTTGTTCAACGAACTTTCCTGGATGTTTGGGACGTTGCTCAATGGGTGGAGGCTGAAAGGCCAACATAATTGGAGATAAATCCTAGAAACTATGGCGAATTAATATGACGCCTTCGGTTTTCATGCTGACTCTGGGGATCTTTGGGTGTCAAGACATTCGAAATTTTAAGTAATATTTGAAGCTTTTCCTCGCAAAGAGAACTGGTGCTGGTGAAATACAAAGAAGCCTCGAGTCCAGTACGTCCAACATCGCATGGCGTGGCCATGATGAGGAAATGATTTTCTATAAAATTCACTCTTTTCACCCCTTCTTTTAATCTTCTTTAGGTTGGGGCCTACTTAGTGCTGAGGGATCAGGATTTCTTTCTTATTCTTAGATCAGATAATCTTCTTTAGGTTGGGGCCTACTTAGTGCTGAGGGATCAAGATTTCTTCTTATTGTTAGACCAGAGAAGAGAGCTTCGGTATGAGTAGATCAATTGTCTAACGTAAAAGTGCTCTCTTTCGTGAAATGCGATGTACACACCTCAGAACGTCCCTCCCGCGCCAATGTTGCATCGTGAGACATAACAGTAACAGTATCCTGTTGGTATATACGCCTCTAAATCCTACCACTGGCCTCGAAGTGGCGAGGGGGCGAAACGGGAATATCCCGGCTAACAGTGGAGGTACATACCACCTCAAAGGGTTAGCTACCCGAGGATTGGTAAATAAACAAGCTACAACACGCACACAGAGGGTCCGGAGCGGCGCAGAAGGAAGCACGAGCTCTACGTGCACTGGAGCAAACGGCGACCTGAAGGGACCTGCAGACAAAAACCGCCGCAGGATTTGGAGTGCACAGGACGAAAAGCTTTCGAGGCATGGGGACTGTCTACGAGTCTGCACCTACAACTGTCGCACCATTGCCTCGATAGCCGACCAAACCATATTATGGAGGCTAGTAAAAGACTTCGTTTCGATGTCATCGCTCTCCAGGAAACAAAAGCAAAAGAAACAGCTACCAGGAAGACCAACGATGGCCACCTAATTGTTCTCGGAGCCAAACTGAGCGGAAGAAATGTCGGTGGTGTTGGATTCCTCGTCCACCATCGGCTCGAGCACATGGTCGATTCAGTCGAAGTGATCGGCCCGCGACTGGCCATCCTACGTCTACGCATCGACAAGCGCACTTTCGTTAGTATTATCAACTGCTATGCACCGACGTCAGCTACGGACGAAGAAAAGGACGCGTTCTACAAGGAATTGGAGGAGATGATAAAAAGGGAACGGTCCTACTACAAATATGTTGTCGGAGACTTTAACGCAGTCATCCATGAGGAAATGCCAGCGACAGCGCATTGGGCCACACGGAACCGGAGAAACAAACGAGAACGGCGAACGTTTGATGGACCTCTTAGAGCAATGCAATCTCTTTCACGGAAACAGCTTCTTCACGAAAAAAGAGGATCGGCGACGTGGGAGAGTCCGAATGCCACGACTCACAGCGAAATCGACCACGTTCTCACTAACAGGAAGTGGAGTCTGCTCGACGTCAGCGTGGTGGATGCATTCCGCACTGGGAGCGACCATAGGCTGGTCAGAGCAAAATTCGTCTCCGAGCGAGAATCCGAAGACGCGACTTCTTCCGACCTCCTCCCATACGGCTGCCACATTACGACACAAACGCCATGGAGACGGCCGCCGCTCACTACACGTGGCAGGAGGCGCAAGACTTGTCGCAAGACTATACCATGCTCATAGAAGGACTTCTACATTGCGCTATGGCATCGGCTATCACAACAAGGACGGGTCCACCGCAACCCTGCATCAACACCATTGGAGCGCGCCGTGATCAACAAAGCGTGCCGCATCGCAGTGAAGGAGTCGATTCAGCGTTACAAGAATACTCGACTGAAGGAAGCGGCGGAAGCGAGAGCGAGTCTCAAACGATGTCGTCGAGACATCAACGACTCTCGCTCGGTCACCACGGTTATGCGAGACGCGATGGGCAGACCGCAGACATCGAGAGCGAGGATTGAAGAGATCGCCGTCAATTTCTACACGGATCTCTACCGATCAACAATGCCGGTTTCACGCATACCTACACCTACGCAGGACGCGGCCCCACAGATAGAGTGGGAGGTGGAACACGCCTTGCGTCAAATGAAGCCGGGGAAGGCACCAGGACCTGACCGCATCTCAGTAGACTTTCTGAAGTCGGCGTCCCGCACCGTCATAAAACAGCTCACCAGGCGCTATAACAGGTACATGGACGCGCAAGAGGTCCCGGACCAGTGGAAGACGTCAAGCACGGTTCTTCTGTTCAAGAAGGGCGAGCGCGACCTAATGAAGAACTACCGCCCCATCGCCCTCCTCTCGCAGCCATACAAGTTGTTCACGAAGGTAATCCTCAACAGGCTCGAGAAACAACTGGATGACTATCAACCAGTGGAACAGGCCGGGTTTCGCAAGGGCTTCTGTTGCATGGACCACATCCATACTGTCACGCAGTTGATTGAGCGAACCAAGGAATACAAGCAGCCGCTCCTCCTCTGCTTCATCGACTATACGAAAGCATTCGACAGTGTGGAACTGAACTCTATTTGGAATGCGCTGCACCATGCTGGTGTCGACCCGTGCTACATAAACCTGCTGGAAAAATGCACCATGGACACATCTACCACCATCCGCATTTTTCAACGAGAGCTACGAGTGCCGATCGAAAAAGGAGTCAGACAAGGTGATACGATCTCTCCCAAGCTGTTCACCACCGCACTCAACCACGCGATGCTGCAACTCGACTGGGACGATAAAGGCATCAACGTCGACGGAAAGAAGCTATCTAACCTACGATACGATACGATGGCATTGCCTTATCAGTGGATGGTGGAGGAACTGAACAACGTCGGCAAAGCTATTGGCCTCACGATGAACCGGAGCAAGACCGAGGTCATGCGCAATGAGTGGGCAGATGCGTCACCCATCATACTCGAAGGCACTGCTCTACCGGATACCGACCGTTACGTTTACCTTGGTCGACTCATTTCCATGGACAACAATTTGCGCGAAGAAATTATGAGACGCAAAAAATGCGCATGGACGGCAATGGGACGCATAAGAGAGGCGGCCCAGCTCATTTCGGACAGGAAAATACGAGCTGCTCTATTCGACTCTACAGTACTGCCTGCACTTTGTTACGCATCCGAGACGTGGGCAGAGAACAAGGCGTCCACGCTGATGTTGACACGTGCCCAACGAGCATTGGAACGGACCCTGCTGAATATCAACCGCCGTGAGCAGAGATGTCGCAATCTGCGCAGTACAGACATGCGCTCAATGTCAGGCATCCACGATGCCGTAGTATACGCGTGGAAAGAAGAGATGGGCCGGACATGTGGTCAGACGTACGGACGATCGGTGGACCACTCGCATCACACTCTGGTATCCGAGAGACGCGAAGCGCAAGGCTGGCCGCCCTGCAACCCGTTGGAGAGACTCCTTGAAGCAACTCCAAGAAGCTGCAGACCAACACTGGGTCCAAACCGCTCAAGATCGCAAACAATGGAGGGAAGCGTGTGCTCGTCGCTGAAGAGAACCGGCTGAAAACGAGCATCCAAGTATCCAAGTGAGCGTATATGCCTACATACACACACATTGGTCCAGCTCCAAGACCTCGTATATAATAGTCTTAGAGTGTTTGCCGTCGATCCATCTCTTATTGGATGCGACACGCATTCTACTTCCATTCAGAATCGTAGTAGCTTGATGAATGCGGTGTGGCCTATGCAATGACTTTCGGGGGGTCAACCGATGTACAATTTCTTATGCTCAGCGTTTTTATTCTCCCAGACGAGTATGATACCAATTTACAGTCGTCGGGGGAGGGCGAGGGGGTAAAAGGCACCGTTGACTCGGGCGGGAGTTGATCCGGGATTGGAGCCTCAGACCGCGCGCGTGGTAAGCGTGCCATTTGCCACTGCACCACCTCCGCCTCTCAAATAACATCTTAACATTCGGACTTCTAGCTATAATGGAGATCATTACTCGCCACTCTAGCGTCGCAAACTAATCAATCGGCTAAGCAGTAAACATTTCAAAGCATTCACCTTCTTGATGGATACTTTCAGACTGGTTGCTTCTGCAGCTTTACCGTCTTTCTAAACAAGGTTCTTATTCGTAGGAGAATTAATAGTGTGCCAGCAGAACTAAGCAAAACAAGCTAAAAGAGTAGTGTAAGGGTAGCGAACAGATTCACCCAATGGTACGCAGTTTTTGAAAATTAATTTGTTTACCTAAACCATCGTACTCCCGCATACATAGTTGACTATTGTGAAGGAACGGGCCCACGGTTCAATGCCCCAAGCCCTACAAGGGAAACTGTACACGGTGAAGCAAAATTGCTAGCGCACACAACATTCCGACGAAACTTCCATGTCACCTTCCAGATAGCAGTTCTTTTCCTGGATGCTATTTGCTGCAAATATATAACAGCTATCTGAAGCAATGTCAAAACGAATTTAGAACAATCAAAATAATCGCCCTTAGCCTCCACGCAGTCTTTCAGAAGTTGATGAATTCCCCGTTTTCAGCGTGCGCTCAAGACAAGGTTTCAAGCTATCGTTCAGGTCGCCACTCACGCCGGCGCCTTTCTGAAGAGTCCGATTCAGCCAGGCGGGTCTTGACGACTCGAGTCCAAGTCAAAACCAAAAGGACTCATGAAAAAACAATGGTGAATATACTCGAACTTTCACCTTTGCCCCACAAACGGAGGGCTTACTCCAAAAAATATTAATTTCACCTCATGAAAAGATTTCCAGGGTAACAGATTTCTGCTTTGGAAGCGTTCGTCAACTCCGAGAATGCGATAGGTCCAGGGGGTTCCGTTCATGTTTTGCGGCAACGTCCACCACCTTCTACCAGTGTTGTCCACCAGCGTTCTGAGCGTCCAGAACGTCGGCGACTAGGAAAGTATAGATATCGATCTAGCGTCTGCCAGCATCCACCAACGTCCAGGAGCGGAGAGTATGGCGCGATAAGGGTAGCAGACAGCTGGTAGAGTATGGGGGGGATAGGAGGGAAGCAAACTACTGGTACCCTCATATCGCACCATACTCCCTACCAACAATCTGCTACTGGTCGCTGATGGACGTCGGTGGACGCTGGCAGACGCTAGATCGATATCCACACTTTCCTAGTCACTGACGCTGCCGGACGCTCTGTGCACTGGTGAACGCTGCCGCAAAGTATGCACGCACAGGGTACAGCATCGTTGTGTGAAACACATAGGGGGTCGTACTTGGCCGCTGGGGAGGGGGTCGTAATCTGCGAGATGGGGGGGGGTGTAAGTCTTCTTTGCCTGTATTATTTACCCCCCCCCTCCCCCTCGACGGAAGAACCTTGGGTGAAAAAGGTAAGGGGAAATTGGTAGGTAGGTGTTGGGGAAGGGGGAGGGGGTCGCACCGAGACCCTCCCCTCGAGAAGGGGGGGGAGGTCGTACTGTCACCACCATTTCACACATCACGATGCTGTACCCTGTGCACGCAGCCTAATGGTTCGTGGTAGACGTATCACTAAGGGAAAAACACTAGTTTGTATTGAAGCGCAGGATAATAATTTGGAGCCTGTTTATAGTTCATAGACTGACCCCCTCGGAGTGCCTCCTAGTGCTTTGATGAAAGTTCTTTTATAACAAAGAAAGTGCGAGTGGTGCTCCAGAAAGGTCCTTGACTCTGAACGGTGATTCCGAAACACCATCGAAAATGTTGCTGCACCGGTGATTTTGCCCCACCCTGTACCGCTGCGCCACTTCCTCGTCTTTCATCATCTCATTTATACTTAACAATGAACCAAACCTGATCTCCTGCTGCAGGCGTCTTCAAGTTTTCACCACTCTTCTTGAAGAAGCCTGTGTTCTGTTGAGCAGATTTCCCTTTGAGTTCTGCCGATTTCGGTTGACCAGGTTCTGTTTTGGGTTCTGCCGCTTTCCCTTGAGCAGGTTCGGTTTTGGGTTCTGCCGCTTTCGGTTGAGCAGGTTCGGTTTTGGGTTCTGCTGCGTTCGGTTGAGCAGGTTCGGTTTTGGGTAGTGCTGTTTTCTCCTGTGACGGCTGTTGTTGTTCTTTGGATTGTGGTTTTTGTGGCGCGTTTAGCTGTGGATTTTGAACACTCTTCGGCATAGGTTCGCTCATCAACGCCTCTGCAAAGAGAAACTTTTTGAGGAATAAAATAGGATAATTTAAGTTCACAACGATGGGGGGCCATGAGTATATGGGACACCTTCGACAAAACCTTACCGCCTATCCCCTAGCAAGGCATACATGAGAAGTGTTCACCTTCCTTCTAACCATCTAAAATTCTCGTGATGACCGGAGCGTTTGAATTAGAGGCCGACTTCGCGATAAGCCAGCGGAAAGTTAGTAGGCAGCGGACTTGAGAAACAGAATTATATGTGCTAGTTGATTTTCTCGTGAAGAAAAAAAGGAGGATAACATCGAGAAGACTCCAAAGGCCCTACCTGTGCCACGCGAAAGACAACCGATCAGTGTGGATATCGGGAGAGAGGCCAGAGAAAACAGCGAGAGAGCATGCAAACAAGGAGAGCGTAGATAAGACATCTATCACTGAGGGCGGAGTCACTTGAGCAACCTTGCTTCTCCTCTCACCGCTACCTTGCCTTTTTCTAACATGGAACTCATACAGGGTTGTTCGTCGCAGTCCACACTACCTCTCAGCACGATGAGCTCTGACAGTTGTAACTGATCGTGGTCTATCCTTTTAAGGAATAGACTCTGCGCCTCTTTCAGCAGGAACGGGCCGTCACAAACTCTTGAAAGGGATTATGGTATTAGGTTTACCTAATGATATGTGTGTGCATCGTACTTTGAGTTCAGTTGATCTCCAAGTTGTAATAACTACAGAATAAGCTGAACTCGGCCTCGCTGCGCATGAACGAATGATTTCTAGCCTGAGCGGACGCTTGTCGCAGCAGGAGTTGTCTAACTTCACCATTGGGCGCATCTTACTGCATTAGGAGGTAGTCCGAATTCAAGTATGAGAAGCCGAAGAACTCCCATATGCCTTCCTCCACTGCTGCAAACTGCCTGTTATCTCCGTCTCCTCGGAAGAATCCCCTCCCACGACAATCTCACCGTTGTTCCTCGTCACTACTCAGCTACGTCGTACTAAATCCAGATAACCTCCTACCACTTTGACGGTTCATTCACAGAATTCAATCATGCTGTTTTTTCGTGAATGGAATCTCCAACAGGTATGTATGAACCTAAGGCTGCAGCCAAACCTATCACAACGTCATAGAGCGTCTGTAGTTATTACAACTCGGAGATCAGCTGAACTCAAGGTACGATGCACACACACATCATTGGTTAGTCAACGGTTTTGTAAAAACAGGAGTTAACTAACCTCTCGTCTTTCTCGTTGCACAGAATACGCAAAAGGTAACTATGACGGTGAACATCATCGGCCCAGTGATATCAGACAGAAGAGAACGGCATGCCTCTATCATGGAAAGAAACTCTCAAATGACACATTGGTATTTTCATGTGTTTTATACCGTGCTCTATCTTTATCCAGTCATTTCAATTCCTAATGATTGTGAACTCATTCGAATGTTCTCATTCGCTGTCAACTTACCGGTCTGCCTATATTTACGTTCACTATACCTCCTTATCCGAACTATGGAGAAGTTTAGCAGAACAACAGCGAATGGCTAATAGGTAGGAAATTCACGGTACGGAACCACATTTTGTTTTAACAAGTTCAGGGCAAGTACTATGGTCACTGTCATAGCTCAAGTAGTGTAGGCTGCTCTGTTATTGACCGGACGCAGTGTAATACATATAATAGCATAACCAGGCCTTGTCTCTTGTAAGTTCTAGGGTCACTCCTCTGATGGCCAGTAGGTTGTCCGGAAAGTTTCGAGAGAACTTCCGGTCTTTTACTTCGAAGAAATGTAGCGAGCGATTGCGTCAGCAAAAAAAATCGTACATAAAATGCTTCAAGAAAGAGAAATGTTGTAGATTAATTATGACGCTGATTGGTGCTATTCTCCATTTTATGGGTTAAGATTGACCGAAAAATGTACGAGTGCCACGACTCCTAAAGCCTTTCACAGTCCACATCCCAACGATGGGGTGGGCCTGGCTTTCTACTTCACTTAAACATGGACTATGATGCGCTGTTCGCGAGATATTTCCATTGATGCAAGTTTTATCGTATCTTGCTCTACATAAGGTTGCAACTGTTCTGAAATAAACTATCCCCCCGCCCTCTCAGAGCGCAGCTGCCGCTACGATTAACTGAAGTGCGCAGCCACGAACACTACGTCTCCCGGATATGGACTGCACGTCACCTTCATGGTTCGGTCGATTTCTCAATCATATCGAGAATGGGGCTGGCTCTGTAGCCGATGCTTAACAAAATACGTTCCGAAATTATCTACAGTAGGAGTTCGATCTCTTTCCGATGTGGACGTTGCCTTTTTTCAGTACTTACTTCATTTTTCCTTCGGTACACACTACATTCGCGCTTTTCAGTACTCACCACATTCTAATTCCCACGCAAAGCAATCCCGCCCTAATGTCAAAGGGGATAGAAAGGACAATGTTTTTATAGATATTGATTCTTACTTGATCGGAGTTCGTTGGATTGAGTTCTGATGGAAATCAGGACTTTTTTCATCAAAACTTACAAGAAAAGACATTCCCATGAAACTTATGTACAACCATTGCTAGATCTGAGAAGACCAATATAGTCCGGAATGCTGGTTACAAATGAGGAAATGAAAGTTGCTACATGAACCTTACACGAGCACTCAAATTTTGCCGATTTGCGCGTGACCGTAATCACCAATCACCTCGTTGGAAGTAGTAGGGGAACTGTCGAAGTTCATAAAATTGGCGAAGTTTGAGGAGTAGGGATGTGGGACAGTCGGAATTAAAAGAAGATCTTTGATCACTGGGATTATATTCTTACAAGTGCTACAGACGATGTCTTCGTCGTTAGTTCTACCGCCGATGTCATGGGCACATGCTTCAGAAACTTGAACTCATGTGACCCGAACATACGTTTCACGGTGGAACATCCAGACGAACGCGGCTTTCTCCCATTCCTCAACACGAAGGT